ACCTGCTGCCCACGCTGCTCTGGGTGCAGCCCAGGACACAATGTGCTGCCAGCGCACATTGTCTGCTCGTGTTCAGCTTCTCACTCACCACCACTCCCAAGTCTTTCTCTTCATTAGCTTACACTGGGTCAGTTCCCTAAATTCCTTCTGGCCTCAGCTCACAGCTGAAGATCAACATCATGCCCGTTCCAATTATATATAGTGGTTGCTCTGGTTAAGTTTCAAGTCAAATTACAGGACTAACAGTACTAATGATTACAGTCTGTGTGATTGTTCTGTTTCAATTTTGTATAAATTGCTGTTGTTTTGTTGCTCAGAAAATAGAGAGAGAAATGTGGAATTATAAGTAAATAAGATCGTAGGAGTGTGGGGAAAAACATAAGGAGGGGATTGTAAAATGGAAAGACTCTCTAAGAAAATGCTTATAGGTAAAATGATATTGATTAACAGAGGTATTATGGTTGAGATAAAAATTATAAACAGGTGCTAAGAAATAATAGAATAAGAATCCCAGACTGGTTTGGGTTGGAAGGGACCTTAAAGATCATCCAGTTCCAACCCCCCCCTGCCATCAGCAGGGACACCTTCCACTAGACCAGGTTGCTCAAAGCCTCATCCAGCCTGGCCTTAAACACTTCCAGGGAGGAGCAGACACAGCTTCTCTGGCCAACCTGGGACACTGGCTCACCACCCTCACACCAAAGAATTTCTTCCTCACATCTCAGCTCAATCTCCCCTCTCCCACTTTCAAGCCATCCCCCCTTGTTCTGTCACTCCCTGTCCTTGGCCAAAGTCCCTCCCCAGCCTTCCTGGAGCCCCTTCAGGTACTGGGAGGCCACTAGAAGGTCTCCCTGGAGCCTTCTCTTCTCCAGGCTGAGCAGCCCCAACTCTCTCAGCCTGTCCTCACAGCAGAGCTGCTCCAGCCCTCGCATCATCCTTGTGGCCTCCTCTGGACTCATTCTAACTGGTCCATGTCTTTCTTGTGTTGTGTTCTCTTCTTGGGCTCCAGAACTGGACACAATAATTCTTACAAACCATGCAACCATGCTGTTTCTCATTCTGTCCTTTGTACAGCCCTCTCCATGGTTGGTTTAAACACAATCCAGTTGAATCAACAAGAATAATAGAATTTAGAGACACAGCAATTATAGAGGAGAAGTGATTAACTTGGAGTAAGGGAATTGTGAAAGATTACAGATTTTAAAATAGACAGAAGTGAAATGTCATTATGGAAGTTTTCCTTAGAAGTGCAAAGGTGAGCAGACAGGAAGATGATTCAAGAAGATCAGTGAATACAGTGACCAGAGTGGGACCAGCGGGGCTGCAACTTCTGAAGAATCACTGAGATGAGACAAGAAGAATCAGCTGCGTTTGAAGACCACTGTGGACTTTTAATGAGAAATTTAGAACCAAGGGTTCATGGGAAAACACCAAGAACTTTGAGAAGAATATCTATTGTATAATGTTAAATTTAGGATATATATAGTTTGATTTTTGCAATGCCTTTGCCACCTACTGAGGTGATGGCCCAACTCTGAGTTTTCAATAAAGCAAACCTGGAGTTACCCATCAACTGAATTAAATTCCTTTAACGTGTAAAATCACCTTTTCCAAGTTGCCCATAATTTATAGCCTTTTTGCCATGTAGCTGTTTGCTCTCTTCTCATTTCAGAGCCAGATGCATAGCTACTTCTGGAGAGACTACAGAAGATTAAAAGCAGTGGAACACGTTAGCACTAAAGGGCACAAGTTCACTTTGAGGGAAAAGGAATTAAAATGCTAATCTCTGCTTTTCCAATTGATTCAGTGTAAGTTCATGTATCTTCCTCCAACCACTTCCCCACAAATGGATACTTAGTTTTAGAATTATAGATTTTAGCTCAGGGTCACTTTAAGTTTTCTTATATTTGCTAACCAGAAATGCAATCACAAGCCAAAACTAATTTTTAGAACTAAACTAAAATCAACATTAAATGAAAATTCTCATCTCTGAATGAAACCTTAATTTGACAGAATCACAGAATGTTGGGGATTGGAAGGGACCTCAAAAGATCATCCAGTCCAATCCCCCAGCCGGAGCAGGAACCTAAATGAGATCACACAGGAAGGTGTCCAGGCAGGTTTTGAATGTCTCCAGAGAAGGAGACTCCACACCCTCCCTGGGCAGCCTGTTCCAGTGCTCTGTCACCCTCACTGGAAAGAAGTTTCTTCTCAAGTTTCTTAAAATAAAAACTAGCAGATCCTTCTCCAATAAATAAAAGCAAAGATTTGTAATTTCTCCATACTGGCTAGTGTCAGTATGCTTCAGGCCTCCTCCAGACATACTCATCAGAGCTTCTAGAGACTTGAACTCTGCTGGTATTCAGAAAAATGGAGTGGGCAATAGGTAGGAGAGAGTCAGGGCAGTTCTGTGCAAGCCAGAATCAGCACTGTAGGGGTCTGAGAGAAGGCATCAGCAAGACTTGAAAATAGACAGGCATGGACTTCAGACTGGAGTTAGGTGCTACAGAATATATCCCAGCTCAATCATTTCAAAAAGTAGAGACAAAAAAAACAACCAAAAAGAAAAAGCAGGAACTTACTGTATGCTAAGGTCACGTCCTTTTGCTGTGCCTCGACTTGGATACTGTGCCAGAATCGAGGATAACGCCTTTAATCTCTTTCTGCATTCCAGAAAGTCCTGGTTGAAATGAAAATCTGTGGAAGCTGAGAGGGGAAGTCCGTCCCTCACCCGCACCACACAGGCGAAGAAGATCATAGACATTCTCCACTGGAGCACTCATGAGGACAACCTGAAAATGAAATATTCAATTAGGTTAATGGTCCATTAAGGGATGTGATATTAGTTACTCACAATCCAATATTCCAGTCAGGAATATGTCAAGGTAAGAGTTTATTCACCACTGCTACTGAACGTCTCTTGTAACGCCACTGCCATGGAAAGACAATCAAACTCCTCTCAAAGGTCATTTTCTGCTTCTCTCAGACAAAAAAGTGGGGCAGGGAATTTGACAGGGGAATTATCTACCTGAAAAATATCACTATTTTCCCTCCTTCTGCTTTACCTCACACATCAGAAAGGCTGAGTAAAGTTCTTAAAGGTATTTGTGGAAACCAGCTAACTCCCCCTGACACACTGCATCTTCACTGGTCTTGCAAACAGTGACATTAGTGTTGCAGTTGTCCAGTTCTCATAGAATCACAGAATGGTTTGGGTTGGAAGGGACCTTAAAGCTCATCCAGTTCCAACCCCCCTGCCATCAGCAGGGACACCTTCCACTAGACCAGGTTGCTCAAAGCCTCATCCAACCTGGCCTTCAACACTTCCAGGGAGGAGCAGCCACAGCTTCTCTGGGCAACCTGTTCCAGTGTCTGACCACCCTCACACCAAAGAATTTCTTCCTGATGTCTCATCTAAACCTACCCCCTTCCAGTTTGATAAATTTTAGGCTACAGACTGTCAGACTCTTTATAAAAAGAAACAACTAGGAATAAATATAGAATAAAAGTTGTCCTCTCTCAAATTCTCTCTCTTTAACAAGTCATAATCTCTCATGAAAAGTTATTATTGGTATTTACCTGGTACATTCAGAACACACAAGAGATCTGTCCTTCAGACATACCATCAGTCTTCAGTGCAAGATGACTAATCAGAAGACTAATGCAGCAGCTCACATAATCTCTGAAAGATAATCAAAATGAATGTTTTAGAAAACAAAAGAATGACCAGTATGTATATTATGTATATTTACAATGTAAAATCTCCCATGTAGCAGGTAAACATAATCTATAAAGTATTTTGTCTAAAGGAAAACAAATAATTCTCCTTTTTTTTTCCAAATATATCAATACCTAGATGTGTTCAAAGACCCTACGAAATGATATTCAAAGTATTTCTGATGCCCCAATCATTGTTTTAAAGTTATCATAGCTTCCTGTAAAAGAGCAGCTCTAAATTAGCAAACTTTGAGTGATTATCACAAACAAAACAAGAAAGAAAAAAAAAAAAATTAAATAAAAAGGCATTTACTCTGCTTCAGGCAAAATACATAAATGAAGCATTAGGGGGAAAAAAAAGAAATCACACTGTGAACTGAAACTTTTGATACAGGGAATGACTGCTTTAAACAGCCCTGTATCAAACAACTCATCATGATGCTCACAGTTTCTTTGAAATATGTGTCTCATCATCAAGTGTTTTTCTTGTCTCAGAAGGTGAGTGAGCAAAGCCTCTGCTAGTTCAGACATTCAGAAGCTCTCTTGCCTGTAGAGTTGCTCTAATGTCTAATAGAGTTGAGTTCCTACCATGAGCAGCACTAAGAGAGTCTTGTTTCTGCTCCACAGGAATCATTTCCACACAGTCTGTAGGAACTACTCCTTTGGCAAAGGTGGCTGCGAGGTGCCAGCATGTTAAAGCAACTAACAGTTGTCAGAGGAATTGACAGAAAGAATAATAAATTGCACATAACTTGCTCCTTAGAAAAAGAAATTAAAACTACAGAAGATCACACATCACTTAAAAAGCAGTATTTTGAACTTCTACAATGGAGATTAAAGAAGAATTAGACACTAATTTTTCTCCACTCTCTCTCTCATAGCTCTTCTCTAGCAGCCACTTGAGTTGTAAAATCAAACTAAGCTCACTAACTTCATTTTGCCACGCATCAAAAAGAATTTCTACAATAATCAGGATTATCACATGTCAACTTGAAACACTACATCAAGCTTCAAAGTGTTGTGCTAGCAGCCACGGAAGAAACGGTGCAGAAAGCTGCTTCAACTTTAACATAAAGGTGAGATGAAAACAAAAAACTGCCAATAATGAGAAATATTCACTTTAACAGTCAACTTTTCAGTGTGGTTGCTCAGAACAGCACAGTTTTATGGTCAATAGTTGGAAATCCTGATGAAGTATAATTCCAAAATATCCCATTTGACAAACACCACAGAGGCAACACAGTGAACACTCGTTTAGCTTTCAGAAACAGCCAGAAGATGACCAGGACAATGGAAAAGCACCAAACTAAGAAACTAAAGACATTTTCTAAAAAATATTTAGCCTATAAAATTATTCAACTCACTATGCCACTAACAGCAAGAGTTTCAGATTTATATCTTAAATGATGTGTATATATTAATCACTAGGGATAACATCACCTGTACATACAAAGGTATATACAACTTTCCAAGAGACACAAACTGTTACGCTTCAGGGCATAAAGCTTTCACTAAATATCAGCTGCCCATCAGAGAAGATTCTCTGTTCTCCTGTGGAAAGATCTGGTATCAGTCACCATCAGGCAGACTTCCAAATTAAATGTCAGATTTCACCAGAGAAATGAGTCAATGCTCCTTCTTTGGAGAATACACCTGCTGTAATGTACAATCAGACCATCACCGCTGTATTCATCCATATAGTTTGATTTATTTATGGTTTTTTTTAAACCTACTTGCCAGGGAATTTTTAGTTCTGCTGCCTGAGGAAATGAGGCTTCCCCAACCAAGCTGTAAGTGCAAGTGGGATAGATATTTTATGTGCCTTTTGGTTTTGTGAAAATAGGCAAATGTATATAAAAGAAAGGTAATCCCCAACAGAGAGAAAGGCTGATGCAGTCACTCAAATTTTAACAGAGAGAAAGGCTGATGTGGTGACTCAAATTTTAACAGAAATAAATATTGATACAGTGACTCCAACCTTAAGAGAGAGCAGGTGAGCACAACCTCTGGGAAAACAACTGGAAATGTGTTCACTGGTTCTGCTTCTTACAGAGCTCCCACTGACACGGTCTAAAGGAATGTTAGTGAAGGTAAGACCCTGCCCCCCAAAAGAGGAAAAAGGTGTGAGATTTGAGAACAGAACCTGTAAAGATTTCTGATTAATAAAAAAAAGAAATATACAGGGGTTTTAGAATAATTCAGGGGTTTATTTGAGATGTAGCACAGGTTTAGCTAAAAGAGGTGAGACCCAGCAGCACCTTGCAGAAGGAGGTAAAGCCTAAAAATAAATTCATGCAAGTGGTTTACCTAAAAATAAATTCATGCAATAAATTCTTCCATGGAACTCATATCACCAACCACCATCAACCACTCAAACTCATCTAGCTCCCTCCTTTCCTTTTCCACCTTCCCCCAGCCCAAACAGTCAACTATGTCACCTCCCTCAAAAGTTTAATTATTTGCAAGTTAATTTTGACACGTCACCTGTAAGCGAACACATCTTCTCACAACTTACTGGCCTGATCAAGGTGTGCAAATACCCAAGTGAATCTATGATCTTAGTAATTGAGATCAACCAACCCTTTCCTCCTCCAGCCTCTTTGTATTTGCATATGATTAGTAGCCCAAAGTATCTGCCACTGACTTTACGTGGCAAGCCTTTGAACTCATGTCCTGAACTTTGATAACGTACTTTGTGCCTTTTGATTAAGCAGGTATCAAACATTGGGTTATTCAGAATTTATAACATCAGTCAGCCCAGCTATTTTACTAGCACAAAGCAGGTAAAACCTTGAGGAATATTTTAAGCAATTGTTTCAGAAGAACAAGTTACAATTTATAAAGTAAACAAAGGTTGGAGGGGTTTTTTCATTATTTGAAGCACCTGTACACCTAACAACCCTTCAGAAGAAATCTGTGTAGTGTAAAACTCACATAAACAACACATTTATCAGTCTTGTAATAAACAAGACTCTTCAGGGTCTTCCCACAGTTGGTATCTAAGTTGTCTGGAATGCAGTTCCACCATCCCTGATTTCCTAAATAGCAGCCAACTCTCTTTAGTGACTACACAGGGATTATTAACACAGCCTTAATCAGACCTCTTACACCTCACCACGCTGTCACGCAAGCTCCTTCGTATAAGAAGGTAAGACCTCATTCACAAGCACCACACTTCTCCAAATGCTAAACAAACTCCTACCTCAGTGTCTGTGCTTAGAAAAGAATCTACTCACAAGGCTACGAAAGCAAATGCAAACCAGTACCTAGTCCACGGAGGGAATTATTTTTTAAATACTGTTCTTCAAGAAGTTATTTTATGTATCAAAAGCAGATGTTTCCTTCTAAGAATGGCGTAATACTAACAAGATATGTCTTGTTACCAGGATGTGTCTCAATCACTCGTCTTCTCTCCCTGTTCAGAGTCACATTTCCCTTCCTTCTAAAAGTGGCACATGGAACAGTTTCAAACCAAACAATATCCAGCTATTTTGTCAAGTTCTGATCTTCCTCCTGAAGGAAGAGCAGAAAGCTTTAGTGAATGTTTCCACAGTCCAGGAGGCTCCTGAAGCAGCCTGTAAAGTTTTTTAGACCCATGATAGCTTGATAAATGATAGTAACTATTGCATCTAATGCAGTTTTCCTCAGGTGGGTAAGCTTCAGAGGGATTCACAGACAGATACAGGTGGGATGCCAGAATACAAGAGGTTCAGGTTGACTCAGTCAAACACAAACAGAGCTGCAGCTCAAGTGCTGGTTTCAGTCTCAACCAAGAAGAGGAGAAAAGGAATGGAGACATGGTTCACCAGGGAGAGTTACTACTTCTCTGCAGGATCACAAGGTGGATTTTATCCTCTCTCCTCAGACACATAAAAAAGTGAATCTGAAATGACATTAAATTTCTCGTCTTCTAAGATTGCAGTAACAATATCCACCTGCTTCTTCCCAACTGCTCTCCCTCAATGCTCACAGCAGTGCTGACCAAGCCACTGATGTCACAGACTTACAGTGCAACAAAAGCCACTCTCCAGAGTGGCTGGATTTGAAATGCATTTGTAAGCATGATGTTTTCAAAATTTCCCAACTTTTAAAACGGGATTTGTGGACATCAAGACCCTATAGGCTCCTATAAACCCTACATGTTTTATACTCATCCCCAAAGGGAAGCATGTAAATAAACTTTATGATCACAAATCTCTTGTCTACACACACTCTTATGAATTACCAGAAATAACACATTACACGAAACTCAAACCCCAACATTCAGCTCCTTGATCAACCACACTGCCTCAATGGATCGTTTTCCTAACCCTTGCCCAAACCACACCGTAGCAATTCTGTAAGGCTCTGAAGCTCCCACCTACATTAATCTCTCAGAAACATCAGCCACCTTATACACACCCACCCCCACCAACGTGTACCCTGAAGCCTCCCAAGAGCCCACCAGCTCATCTCCACACCTTCACCAACCCACAGACCCTTCCCATACCCACCCTGTTCCACTCACCATACTACACACAGAATCATCATAGAATGGTCTGGGTTGGAAGGGACCTTAAAGATCATCCAGTTCCAACCCCCCTGCCATCAGCAGGGACACCTTCCACTAGACCAGGTTGCTCAAAGCCTCATCCAGCCTGGCCTTAAACACTTCCAGGGAGGAGCAGCCACAACTTCTCTGGGCAACCTGGGCCAGTGTCTCACCACCCTCACAGTGAAGAACTTCCTAATATCTAATCTAAACCTACCCTCTTCAAGTTTAAAGCCATTTCCCCTTGTTCTATCATTAACTGCCCTTAAAGTCCCTCCCCAGCTTTCTTGTCGGCCCTTCAAGCCGCTATAAGATCTCCCCGGACCCTTCTCTTCTCCAGGCTGAACAGCCCCAACTCTCTCAGCCTGGAAAAGAGAACATGCCCAACCTCTACTCACCAATCTTCTCCCCAACATGAAGTGTCCCTTCCCCACACTCTTCAGTAAGCCCAGACACCTTCAAAGCCAACCCCTCATCACTCTTTCATACTGACAAGTCTCCCCATACACCCCTCAAGCACCCTAGACACCCCCAAATCTTACTCCCATCCCACATGTCCCAAATCCCTCGTGTTTTCCCAGCTCACCTCAAGACATCCCCAGCACAATCCAATCCCTCCTCAGAGTCCCAAATTCTCCTACACCCCTCAACCACTCCAATGAACCCCCAAATCCTACACCCATACGACAGGATCCCCTCCCCCAACACACACATCACCCCTGCTCACCCCCAGCCCATCCCCCTGAG